TGCTTTCCTCCCACCGCCTCTTCGCTTTCTTGTCAATCCACACCCTTTCTCCCTTCACCCTTTCTTCGGCCAGGCACTCCCGATCACACATCTTTCACTCGGACCTCGCGCTTTCTGCGTCACCACCCCACTCCTCAATTCCGTTCTACACCCCATACAAAAGGGCAAACAAAAAAAAAAATCCCGGAAAAATGGGAAACAAGGTTACCGGCCCTCCTGGTAATGACATCGGATAAAAAAAAAAAAAAAGAAGCACGAAATCAGTTCGCGATTGAGTGTTTTCTCTTGGCGTGACAAGAGAGAGAGCGAGAGAGAGAGAGAGAGAGGCGAGACAGGCCCCACTCCCAATTGCGACTTGCATGGAACTCCCAACCCGGAAGAAGCGGGCGAGACACCGCCATCGGTAAAGCCCGACAGACAGACAGACAGACAGAGAGACAGACAGACAGAAAGACAACAGGCAAAAATGGATACCAATCAGACCCCATAAAAAAACAAAGACAGAAATCAACCACACTGATCAAACACCTTCCCCACCTTCCGAACCATGTCCTCCGCAGATGCACGCCGTCCTCACCGCCGCGCCGCTGCCGCCTCCACCACCACCACCACTACCACCCCGCCGATCTTCGACGCGCACGACCCGTCCCCGCTCCGCCCGCTCCTCCTCGCGACCTCCCTCTACCTCGTCCTCGCCCTCCTCCTCGACGCCGGTCCCACCCTCCCCTACACGACCCGTCTCTACTACAGCGACACCAAAGGCGCACCCACACCCGCCTTTGCCTCACCCTGGCACCGGCGCGCAATCCTGGTGACCGCCGCGACGGCGATCGTGTTCGCGATGGTGGCGCTGGTGCGCGCGGCGACGGGAGTGAGCCGCCTGCTGGCGCGGGAGACCGAGAAACGGACGGGGAGGCCGGAGGACGGGCGCGAGGGGCGCAGCGGAGTCGTGGACCGGGTTTTGGTGGGGGTGTTGGGGTTTGGAGCCGTGGTGTGGGTTGTGGGGATGTGGTGAAGGGCGGGGGACTCCACTCACCTTGATCCGTCGCCCTTGTTTTGTTCTCCTCGCTTTGTTCGCAAACTCCTTCAACCTTTCTTTCGGTTTGCCAAACATCCAACTCCCCTCCCACATCCCTTCATCAGTCTCTCATCTCGTGGCCATATTATCCGCGGGTCGAAAAAGCTGGTTGGCTTCCCACTCTTTTAATCTGTTTGTGCCTTTCTTTTTATTGACGGTTAAGAACCTCGTCCTTGCACGGGGTGGGGGATTGGCCTTCACCGCTCGGCGACTGCGGTGTGCCGGCTGCTCGTAAGGGAGTCGGAGTTGTTGACGGGGCGGCCGGCGCCTAATTCGGAGGGGCGGAGTGGGGTGGCGCAGCGGCTTTGCGGTGGGGGCGATGGGTGTCGCGGCGCTGCGGTGGGTTGTAGGGATGTGGTGAGGGGAATGCGAAAGTTTCTCTCGTCCCGCTCCCCTGCTTGGAATCCCTCGCGTTTTTTTGTTGCACGCTTTCTTTCGCCACGCAATTCCCTAAACATCCCGTTATCCGCCCATCTTCTTGCGCCATATTATCCCCGGGGTTGAAAGAAAACCGGCCTCCCTTCCCACTCTAACAATCTGATGGTTCTCTTCTTTACTTGACCGTACCGAACGTCATCCTTGAATCCAAACTCATATCCTGTTCCTCCACCGCCGACCCAGAAAATATAAAAATCAAAAGTCACCGTCACAGAAACCCGGCACCGCACGGCACTCCCTGTTTCAACCGTGACTGCCCGATGGAAGAAGTCCTGGGGTCCCCGAAAGCAACACAGACCCTCTGTATCTCATGAACTCCTGGTGCCAAAACTTCGCCAAAGTCAGCCACGGAAGAGTCGTCCCCCATAATGAGCTTTTGCGCCGGGGGTTTACCGTGACGTTCGACATCATTAGCATGTGGATCCAGCTTCTCCCAAAGTAGAGAAAATTCCAGTCGACCAGTGGGAGACAGCGCAGTGATCCGGCAAAGTCCGCGCGCACAGAAAAAATGTCCCTGAGGTATGTTTACTTCCCCACCGTGAAAAAACAAAAAAAGAGTTGGGAGTCAAGGAAAAAGGCTTTCACCCGCTTGCTCAATATAAAAGCCGACTCACCCCTTTGCAAACCACATTCCCAATCGCTTTATCACCAACAGCAGCACCGCCCAGAACACCCACCACAACTAAAACGAAAGATGGATGGCCACCAGCTCTTCCTCCTCATCCTGGCCATATTTCTCACCGCGCTCGCGCCGCCAACAACCGCGGGGCCGCTCGCCTACGGCGTCTGCCAGACGGGATGCAACGCGCTCGTTGCGTCCTGCTACATGGCCGCGGGCGCTGTGTTTGGCACCGTGACGGCAGGTTTGGGGACCGCGCCTGCGATTCTTTCGTGCAACGCAGCCCACGGGACATGCATGGCCGCCTGCGCGGCGGCTGTTTTGCTGCCGGCTTGAGGAATGCGAAGTGGGGATGGGGCGGGAGGTGGAAAAGTGGCGCTTATTGGTGGGAAGTTTTCGATGGAAGGCTGGCGCAGAGTCCGAGGGGGATTTTACACAGTCAAGGCCGTTTACTTTTTTTAACTTACTTGTGTATAAGCTTTACCCGTTTTGTGCTTTGCATGTGTTACACGATCTAGGCTTCTTGCTTGACCCTGCTATGAAGTGAAAAATCGTCCTTCGTCTGTTTTGGTTTGTTTTTTTACTTTTTTTTTCTTTTTTTTTTTCCCTTCATTTTTCAAGTCCGCCTGTCACTTTCCCGTGCCCCTGCGTTGCGACCAACATTGGTTTTGTTTTTCCTCACTTTTTACTTGATCCTAAGCAGGTCCGGATGCGTAAAGGGAAGAGGCAAATTTTCATGCCAGCTTCTCGGGAAATACTGTCGACCCAGTTCATCTTCCTGGGAGACATCACGTCCGACGACTGACGCAAGCCGGGCGAAGAGTCTCCCACCGCATCAAGCGTTTCCCTCCCCCCGACCCCTGTCGACTGTGCCGCACATCGCGTGTATAAATGGCCTGGTGCAGGTGACGCCCCCTGCTCACAGTTCACTACAAGCTAACCCCTCCCTCCACCCAAGGTGAACCACACTCCGTAAATACCGTGCAGCCGCTCACACAAAAATGAAACCGCCCCGACTCGAACACCACCACGTCCTCGCCATAGCACTACTCTTCGCGCTCCCCGCCGCCGCACGCCCTTCAACGCCACTTGGCATATGTCAATCTGGCTGCTCCGCGCTCGTGGTCGCTTGCTACGCGGCCGCTGGTGCGGTGTTTGGAACCGTCACAGCGCGGGCGGGGGCATCACGGGATGTGCTAAGATGCAACTCGGCGTTCGGCACTTGCATGTTAAAGTGCTACGAGGCTTGTCATTGAAAAGAGTGTCGCGGTGTGGGGGAGTGACGGTGGGGCGGGAACGCAGGAAGGAAGTGCACGTTGTGGGAGTCCGTTCAGTGTTACTTCACTATTTTTGCATGTTTTTCGAGCATTCCCATTCTTTGCTAGCCTTGTCTGTACTGTGTTTCTCCTTTGACGGCATTTTGGGATAAGTTCGTTGAGTTGAGGTGGTGGTCTTTTTTTTTTTTTTTTTATTTTTTTTTATTTTTCGGGACCTCTTCGCCACTGCCGCACGAAGCGAGACACCTTCTCAACCTCGCACACACACCTCTTACTCCTCCTGGTCGACGATGAACCCAACGCCGTCGATCGGTATCGGCGGCACCGTCTCCGCAAACCTGGCGTCGTCGCTGCAGAGGCGCACGAGGCCACGATCCCCGCGGATCTGATCATCGCCTCCTGGCTCCTCATCTTGGCCGGGTGCCCGTGGGCCACCGCTCCCTCAAGCTGAGCTCCGTGTCGCAAAAACGAGCCCGGATGGCGGCGACGATGGCGACGAATGACGAGCTGGGGCAACTATACACTTGTGGCTGGCAGCGACGACAACAGCGCAGAAACCGCGCCAATGATCTCCTCGCAGAGCCAGCCCAGTCCCGGGGCCTCGTCGTTGCAGCGGTACTGGTAGATCTGTACGCCTACTTTTCCCTGATCGAATTTGTCACGGGCGGATCGGTGAAGCGCAGGTTCGGGTACTCCCCCGTCTACTTCCTCACCGCCAGCGTGAGCGTCCTCGCCCAGCCCAAACCGTCGAATACATACCTGCCGTGCGCCACGCCGGTATGTCAGCCATTGACCGAATGTTCCCCACCCACCAACCGGATCCTCCTTCGCGCACGTATTCTGGTGGCTTTCGCGCATCATCTTTAATTGGATCCTGTGCATCGCCGCCTTCATCTACCTCGTCCCCAAACTGGGGATCACCACCATCGACGGCTTTTCCGGAGCGTGAACGGTCGTACACTTCAACACGAGCGTTCAGGAGTCCTGCGACCCGGCGGATGTCCGCGCGGGAGTTGTTTACTCGAACATTCACGGATACGATCGCGTAACCTACCAGGCGTCCCTCACTTTGTCAGATCAGTCTCCTGCATCCCAAATTGTATTTGCATGACCATAAAAACAGTCAAAAACAAGAAAAGTCTTGCCTTAGAAGTTGAACAACTCTTGCCACTGCCACTTTTGATCATTTTAGTCCTGAAACAAGCTCTGTCTGGAGGCTCTGCTCAGGTTGTTTTTTTGTTCTTCTACGCACAGCAACAGTCTGGAGCAAAACAGCAATATCAAACCAGATCAAAGCACTCCCCAGGCCAATTTAATGGATCAACTTGTCCCCATCAGTGCGAATGCAATTAAGCCCCTGGCATCATTTATTTGGTATGGTTTGACAAAGCAACCACTGCCCAGTGTTGCCCGGTGTAGTTACAAAAACAAGAGAAAAAAACCTGCTCAGTGTCACCTGCCTCTGTTTGGCACCACCCAACAACCAGCCTTCCCTCAACACTCCAGACTGATTGTGGGTGTCTTCAAGGCTCCCACCGTCACAATTTCCACTGCGGGGAGATTACCTCATCCCCAACAGTGGCCATTTAGGCTGCACCCGGATTTGAACCAGGGTTCCCAGAATCAAAATATGATGTGATAATCCCTACACTATGCAGCAATGCCCTTCGCAAACTGTAAGGACCATGTTTGCAGACAAAACTTCGCATCAGATCCTCTTTCAAAGAAAAAAAAAAAAAAAAAAAGGAAAAGAAGAAAGAATCCTTTTCTTCTTCTTTTTGTTTTCTTCCACAACTCAATTTCATGCTCTTATGTTATCAGCCCACAGAGCTGAGTTCTGTTTGTTGCTGCCTCAATACAACACATTTTATAGTTTTACATGAAAATATGGCCCCATCAGAAAGAGGAATCAATTTCGGTTTTTTCTCTAATTTTCATAATTTTGTTTCCACTATGTCCTAGAACAAGGTTTGCCAATTCTTAGTGCAATTAGAAACATCATCTTTGTGATAATGAAAGAGCTTTCTGGCTCCTTGGTTGCAAACCGGTCTATGCAGTCCTCACGAACCTTCGCTTTAGAATCGCAGGGTTCTATTGATCCTCGAAATTTCACCTGGAGTACCAAAATCGAGTCATTGAACGCCATCACTGCTCGCACGCGGTATTACTGATCTCTGCAACAGCCACACGAAGTTGATAAAAAATTGGTGCTCAAGAAAACGTGCGACAAGGGGAGGGAAGGCCATAGAAATCGAACCGGGAAAAGAACGAAAAAAAAGTAATAATGTGAGGATGGAGTGCATGCCTTTTTCGTAGTGGTTGAGAAAAGGCTGACAGGTTGAAGGGGAAGAAAGGAGATAGAACGGAATGAAGAGGGGATACAACGAAATAGAGAATGCTCATTTTGTCCAGTTCCTCCAAGAAATCCCTTCATCGCCCGTCCCGCTTGCTCAAAATGGTCGATACAGTTCACTTTTTGCCACGCTTCGCAGTTGTAGCTGCCTTCGCAGGTGCCGCAACCTTCGCAGGTGCCGCAACCTTCGCAGGGGCTGCCGCTTTCGGAGGAGAAGCAGCCTTTGGGACGGAAGCCGAGCGGGACAGCTCCTTCGTTGCTCCCGGCGCTTTCCCCATGGTGCCGCCGGGCTTTGCCGGGGCGGACGACGAACGGGACAGCCCCTTTTTCGCGGTTGTTGCAGCTGTCTCGCCTCCCGCAGCGCCGGCGGCCTTCGGCGATTTTGCGTCGGCCCCTGCGCCCTTCAGCCTGCCGACGGCCACGGCCTTATTTCCGGCGGCCTTGAGCGTGGCACGAGCTGCGACCGAACCTGCGTTTTCTTTGGTGGCCGGGGGGGACCTCCCAAGGGTCTTTTTTGCCGCCGCGGCCGGAGGCTGCACGACCCCGCCAACGCCCTTCTTAGACGTGTCCGGGGCGCTCGACTTAAGATTCGTCTTTGCGCCGGGCTTGAGCGAGTCTGGGGTTTTAAACTGCAGGCTGGTCTTTGCGCCGGGCTTGAGCGAGTCTGGAGTTTTAAACTGCAGGTTGGTCTTTGCGCCGGGCTTGAGAGAGTCCGGCGTTTTGAACTGGGGCCCGCTCGGCGTCGGTCCGGCGCCCTTTACGCCCTGCTGAACCCGTTTATACCCAGCGTCGGCAGCCGCGGCGGCCGCGGCGCCGTTTTTTCGCCGCGGCGCCCTTTGCGGGAGCCGCGATCCTGCTCGCGGCGCCTTGCCCCGCAGCCAAGTCCTTCTTCGCGGCGCCAGAGGCGACCGCCAAGTTGCCCTTCGCGCTGCCTTGCGCGACGGCCAAGTTCTTCTTCGCCCCGGCGTCGGCCCGGCCGCCGTCGACCTTCTTGGCCACAATGTTGCCCTGGATGGTTTTGACGACGTTGCCGGTCTTGCCGGCGTACTTGCCCGCCGCCTGCAGCTTCTTGCCGTTCTTGGACAGCTTGGGGTCGCCCTTGATCGTGTTTGCGGCACCGTTGATCGCGGACTGGACTGTGTCCATCACCATCGCGCCGGTCATGGCTGGGGGGGTGAAGAGGAAGGTGTGATTTGTTAAAATGAGAGGGGAGCATAAAGTAGGAAGGAAGTAGAAAATTCAGGTCAACGAGTTCGCGGCGACCCGACCTCCCTGCCAGAGCACTTACGCGTAGCACCGATGCGTTTCACAGCTCCGCTCGCCGCCATTCCCGCATAGCCCGCAACGCCGTTCTGTACCGCCGCTAGGTGTTTAAGGTTAATTTTTTTTTTTTCGTATGTTGGTATTGTCAGACAATAGCGCGAAGCACAGGAAGTTAGGCCGAAACCGCGAAGTCTTTTCCTCCCCCCCTCCCATACGGAACTAAGAACGCAAAGCGCGTATGAATTAAAATTGGTTGCGCGCCCGGCCTACCTGCCATGCCTTTGCCGTCAGCCAGCGTGTTGCCAGCGGCATGCACTCCATAGTGGATGGCGCCTATATTTTTTGTTTTTTTCCCCCCGTGTGTGCAGTTTGGTTTGGTCAGACAAAGAAGCACAAAGCCACCATAGAGGCAATAGCACAAATGAGGCAAAGAGGAATCGAACTCACGTCCGCCCGGGACCCACGACGCGACCTGCTGAGTGGCGACCGCAGCCCCGTTTTTTAGCATCTCTGGTTATTAAATGACAATGTGTCAGCGATTTCCGAAACACAAACATACGCCCGCTCAGCCAATCACGACTCAACTCTTTGGGCTCTCGCCCTTCAGGGCGCTGCTGACGACGCCGTGCGCGGCGCCCATCGCGGCAGCGGTGCAAAGTCCGGCGGCACAGCCAGCTAATAGTTTTTTTTTAGGTGGATGGGGGAAGAGGGAGGATTATTTTTACGTGATTTTCCCGACGGCTTCTTTCGCCACTTACCGATGGGTCCAGCGGCGGCGGTGACAGCACCGGCGACGGCGACGGGGACCGCCTTGTTCGCGATGGCGTAGCCGGTCTTGACGCCCTGCGTACAATGATAAAAAAAAATGGGTTTTCGGTGAAATGTTGTTTGTAGGGAAAGGGAGGAGGTGGGCGCGCACCAGTTTCCCGATGGTTTTCGCGACAGAGCCGGCCTTTTGCATTTTTGACTTTGGCTCTTCGGCGGGTGCGTTGCCGTTCTTTTTGGCATCTTCCATCTTGGCTTTTTGAACCTTTTCTGAAAAGGTTTGAGGGGATAGACAGTGGGGGGTGGGAGGAGAGGCGCATCAGGAAATAAAAAAAAGGGGGCTCATGGGCTGGTTAGGGTGTGTACCGACCCAGCGGATTCGCGGCGGCCTGCTTGATCCAGTCAGCATCAGCGGCGTTTGCGGCGGTGTTTGCGGCGGCTTTGTTTGTTGTGTTTGTTCGGGGGAGGGGAAAAAGAGTTTTTGTGAGACGAACAGGCTAAAAAGAAACAGGCGAGCGAGCGGCCAGAAAAAAAGGCGGAAAGTGAGACACTCAACTCTTAAGCGACTTGCCCTGGCGAAGGTCCCAGGCGGCGGAAAACATGGGGACACGCGCGTGGTCTTTGCGTCGATGTGAGAGTGCGTGTGAATTTCAAGCGTTAGGGTGTCGATCGTGGTCACTCAACTGCCCGAATCCAGCTGCAGCGCCGTGCCCTGCATCGCGCCGGCCAAGGTTTGCTTGGCAATGTCTGACAAAAAGGCGTATGTCAGGAACAGAACAAATAGAAAAGAAAGGAAGGAACTTCGCTCCCTTTATACCCTTTGCGCTCTTCTTCTGCACCACGGCCTTGACACAGTCGATGCATGCGCTTGCAGTTGCACCAATGGCGATCGCGGCTGCTTTTCCGGCTGGTGTGTAACAAAAGGTGGGGTATGGTTACCTTTGGGAAGAGCAAGTTTTTTTCTCTCATCCTGAGGCTCGCGTACAGTTTCTACACCCACTAACCAGTCTTGCCGGCAACTGCTCTTATTGCTGCACCGGCGGTCGACGCGCCAAAGGCGACTGCGGCATCGGTGCCGTCGAGCTGCGCCATGTACGCAGTCTGGTTTGGAGTTGAAGCGGTGAGTTAGACGAACAAGAAGTTGAGTAAGAAAGGATTTCCTCGCGACGGGAGTGATTTTCCAGCACCTACGAACATTCTCACTAACTCACTCACTCACAGAGTCTTCATACGCACGTTCTCAAACCTAACCGCAAACGTAAACCCAATCACACACGCACACACCTCCTTCAATCCAGCCTTTGCCGCATTGAAGCGCGAGTTGCCGAGCTTTCCGGTCTCGAAGCGGTCACCGGCGGTCTGAACGGGCTCGTTTGGCTGCCCGGTCTCTTTGTCGATCTTGACGCGGGCGCGGCGGACCAGATGCGAGGTAAGGCGGTTTTCGGGCGGTGTCGAGACGAAGAGCGGCGAGGCAATGGTGACGACGGTGCTTCCGCTGCTGCGTCTGGCGATGCTGATCGGGTCGCGTCGACGGAGGCCTGTGTCGCGGCGAGGGATGGGCGTCGCGAGGATGTGTTTGTTTGGGAGGAGAATGAGGAGGTGGAAGAGGAGGAGGAGGATGGGGAGAAGAAGAACGTGGCTACGGTGGTGGTGTTGGTGGTGCGGCGTTGACGCCGGGCGGGTTGCGGTTGGCGACCCCATGGTATGGGAAGACGGGAATGGGAGCCTGAGCGATCAAGAGAGTTCGTGTGTGTGGGAAAAAAATGTTGTTCCGAGGCAGGGAGGGCTGTGCAGCCGCCATATATACTAGCAGAGGAGACAGAGACAGAGACAGAGAGAGGGAGAGAGAGAGAGAGAGAGAGAGAGTGTGTGTGTGTGTGTGTGTGGAGGATTCGAAGTGTGCGGACAGGCGGGAACCGCGGCTGAGTACATTTCCCAACCGCGGACACAGTTCGCATGCGAGTCAACCTGATTTCCTGAATTAAGCCTTTGTGTCTTTTGTCTCACACACACACACACAGGCTCTCTCTCTCTCTCTCTCTCTCTCTCTCTCTCTCTCTCTCTCTCTCTCTCTTGGCGTCTCGGTCTGGCGCTATCGCTTCCAATCCTTTTGCTGCTCAGCCTCAGAGTCTGTGTTTTTGTGTCTGGCCAATCCAGGCGGAACCGTCAAGAGGAGTGTCCGCAAAGAAAGCACTCTATCTGTCTCTCTCCCTCCCTCTTTCTCTCTCCTCTCTGCTCTGCCACTCCGACCTGTGACCTATTTGAATTAATACTGGAAG